CTCTCTCATGTTTACAAAAATAATAACTCACTAGACCCTACCATTCCCTCAAGCTATCATCCTATATCTTTCTTCTCTCTTGCAGACAACTACAAAAAGTTGTCTACACTACTTATTTCTACTCCCTGTCTACTCACTCACCCCTCATTCCCTTCCTACTTCATTCATGCATGACTCAACTGAAGCTACCCTCTCCAAGTTACCAATAATTTCTTCATTACCAAATCCGATGGCATTTTCTCCATCCTTATCTCTCTTGACATCTCTGTAGCATCTGACACCATTAACCAACCACCATCTTCTCCTGTATACTTTCTTTATTTTTATGACACTGCTCTCTCTTAGCCCTTGCCATGAATCCCCCCTATCTCTAGCCTTTGCCATTCACTCAACCTGCTACTTCTCTCTGCACTAGAAAGTGGCATAAAGTTGTCCATAGGGAACCTTTCTCCCTACCCTGGCCTGCCCTGAGCCCAGGTCCTACTGCTATCTCCCCATCCCCCTAATCTTCCTACCAACACAGAGGCAGCTAGGTGACATAGAGGATAAAGCACTGAGCCTGGAGTCAGGAAGACCTGAGTTCAAATCCAGTCCCACTTACTAGCTGTGTGAACAAGTCACTTTTGCCTCAGTTTCTTCAACTATGAAATGGGGATAAAAACAGCACCTACATGGCAGGATTGTTGTGAGAATCAAATGTGTTAATCTTTGTAAAGCACTTAGCACAGTCTGGCACATAGTAGGCACTTAATAAATGCTTGTTCCATTCTGATATCCCTAGACTAGCTCAACATATGAAATGCCAACACTACTCTAATCATAAGGCCCATATCCCCCCTTCCTAAATGCCACAGGACCAGGCCCCTCCTAGACCCCAGCTGGGAGGTAGACATGGCCACTCATCCCACTTTGAAGACCAACTATAATCCTTGTGATAATAGAGAGGACCACTGGGCCTTGCCATCTGCCCTATGATGACACCCTCCAGCCCTCCAGGCTTTACCATCTGCCCTGCCCCCGATGCTGTGTATCCCCAGCTGCTACTACTCCTTCTGCCACTGTGTTCTGAGGACCTCTGGGCTTTTCCATCTGTCCTGCCACAGAACTCACTCCTATGTGCCTTCCTCAGGGAGAATAGGGACTTTCTTGACTGCAAAGACTACCTCACTTTTCTCTTTGTAATCCCAACAACTTCTCTCTCTCTCTCTCTCTCTCTCTCTCTCTCTCTCTCTCTCTCTCTCTC